CCACTTGCGTGCGCCACGTGAAATCCATCTATCACTCTCTTGTAGATTTTGAGACGTAAACGGGACTGGGGCTGCGCCCTTCTTCTGCGTCCGTTCGCGTTGCGGGGCTCAGCTTATTGCCCAAAACAGACGAATGCTCAAAAGTGGCGCCAGAAAGGTGCCTGGTGTTATTCCAATCTATGGTTGCTCTGCCATCTCCACAACTGGTGATGACAACTTGGCGCACTACCAATAGCACAATAAGAAAAAGTGCCATCACAGGAAAGTTCAGCTGCTGAACATTTTTGTTGTGTGAGATCTTGACATTTTTGATTGCAATACGCTAAAAGCTTGGAGTGGGACAAGTTAAAAATTGGCTGGTCATGCCAAAAACGCGGAAAGGGAGGGGGGGTCAGCAGCAACATCGTGGAAAAGGTTAAAAAAAGGATTGAGCCTTCCTTTTTGTATTTCAACACCTCACCCATCAGTTTCTGTACAGAAAAAAAATAAGATGGAGGTGCCAGTGGAGATCCAGCAATGGTGGGGGGAGGAGTGGAGGTTCTTGTGTTGCATCCCAGTGACAGTGCTGGTGGTGTGGTGGTGTGGCAAACACCCTGCCACACCAGACTTCTGCAAGGTGGCATGGTGGATGCAGTTACCAACTGCAAAGGCAGTGCAAACTGTAAGAAGCCTGTGGAGGCAACAAGCAATAAGGAGGTGGCCTGCAGAAAGGCACTGCAGTGGGCAGCATATGTACATGATCTCCAGTACATGTGCCTGTGGCACAAGGGTAGCCATGGCAAGCTCTTCCAGCCAGTCCTTGGGCAGATGCAGATGGCACGCCACATTCAGGTGGAAATGCTTGATTGAGATGGGCTGAGTAATGGTGGCACAGGATGCTCAACAAAGGAGGTGCTGCACCTGCACAAGCACTGGGACAGTCAGCACTGCCATCACACCAACACAGGTGCAAGTCACCAACATGCTGGCTTACACACAGCACCTGCAACATGAGAGGGCCTTGTGTCCATCCTGCAAGCAACAATTGAGTGGCCCAACATCACACCCACTGTCCTGTTCCCCACTGAAGGTGATGAGACCATTGAGGAGGCCTGGAACAATTGCCACCCCTTCCTCATTGTCCTCATGGCCCCAAATGTGTGCAAGATTGTTCACAAATGGGGCCAACATGTTGTCAGCCTGGATGGCCTCTACAAGGCTACACAATATGGCCTCCCACTCTCAATCAGTTCAAGGCCAGAGCATAGTGGACAATGATATTATGACATTGAAGAAGTGAATGCAACATACCAAAGTGAATGGTGCGGCAATGCTGCACAAGCATCTCAATTTGATTGTTGAAGTTGTGCTGCAGCTCTTTGCCATTAGTAGCTACCATGTCAACACTGATCTTGGTACCTGCTTGTGCCCCTACTACATCTACACCAGTAAGCAGTGCAAGCACATTATGGCAATCACACTGCTGCAGGGATTGGCAGACAATTCATACCCAATGTGGCTGTGCTACATCAGCCCCACCACCTTCTGCAATCCAACAGTCTTCAGTGACAATGATGAAGGACAATGCAAGGCCCTGGGCATTATTGGTCCACCTGGCAGGGCATGCTGGAGCCATGCCCACACTATTGTCACAACAACCAGCTCCTGAGCAATGACATCATGCACAAGATTGCAAAGGATGAGAGTAAGAATGATAACAACAAGAGCAAGAAGGATATCTGCTTTGGTCTTCTTGATGTCCTCTGTTGCATGTTGATACTGGTGCATCCCCATCTCCTTGCCACTGATCTCCAGCCCTGATATCATCATGCAAAAAAATGAATGCAGTGTAATACACATCAAACCAGTGTGCAGGCCTCCATGTACCATAGAGGCGCCAAAGTCTTCTTCATCACCTTCCAGGGTAGTGACTCTGCTGGCCTGGGTACAGCCACAAGAAGCTGGACTGCTACTACACATACAACCAGCTAACTCTGACTTCTGTTGTTGGATCCAACAACAGAAGTCAGAGTCAGTCACTATCAACCAGGCACAATTCAAGGAGAAGCTGTGGG